GTCTACACTTTACAGTCTACAGTCAGGTGCTGTTGAGGGTATATAATTTAAATTGTTACATTGTTACCCCTTCCCAATTTTCTCAACGAATTTAGACGTTTCACAAAATCGACCCCTGGGACTGTCAAATCCGCGGATTTCCGCGGATCCGCGGAAGAATCTCATCCCTGTATATAGACTGGGACTCGCTCCCACCTCGATTACCCATCGAGTGACTAAGCTAAGCCGAGAACACGTAGCAATACATGCATAAACGCGCACAAACACATACATCGCAATACATCGTATTATATGTTAGGACTCTAGGCTATAGGCAGTAAAAATAACCTGTATATAAATATAATTGGAACACTCAGCCTCAGGGTTTATTCATTTCTGTATTACATGAGCCATTATGAATTAGTTGTAATAGTGGGTTAATTTACGGTCCCAGTACACTTACTATAGTTACTAACCTTAGCTATATCAGTCTATGGATCAGTATACAGCAAGTGCCGTACACTACAACTACTTGCAAGTACAACTTCCCGTCACTTAGCTCCAAGAAACGGTATTGCTAGGGTTAGAATACTAGGGTGTATTGACGTTGTGTTGGTGTAGGGAGCTATGGATGGAGCTGGCAGCTGGTATATATAGGGGTTGCACCGTCAAGGTAAACTGCGAGCAGGCGAGTTCCAAGTTCTTCTGCGAAGTTTTTCTGCACAAGAGCAATCAGGCCCCCCTCGACCGCAGGGGTAGACGAAGTTTTTGCTATAAGCAGCACGCTGGGACGATGTAATATATGCAAAAATGCTGTACGTACGCTCTCAAAACAATTTCAAAACAAATACTCATCCAACAGCTTCGATCTTTGTTTCTATTTGAAGAACAGTGTTGACTTCTTATGAAAACATAATGTCTTTGTTCCTAACCGAGCTGTGTCACGCGAAATAACACAGAGACTGACGAAATTCTCGCCACGACGCCACGCCACGCGCTGACGCCACGATATATTCTCTAACTATCACGTGATAATCATAATGGCAAACATTAGAACATCACATTGGTGCGTCAAGATGGATACGGGCAGTGACGAGTGCAGGGCTAGACTGCTACCGACCTTCACTCAGCCAACTATCGTTGGCTATACTGAAGTGAGTTACGCTAGCGTGTCGAACTGTGCACCGCGCGGCAGTCTAGGTCATCGAGCCGAGCGTTTTTTTTTTTTAAACTTGAAAATGGTACGTAGATGGACTCGTTGCGCCATCTATGGGTCGCGATAACTTCCAAATTAATGTCAGGGCATGAACCAGCGAAAAGGGAAAATTATTTTTCTACACGAAAAGGACGCGCGCCGAGCCACACACCAACAAAAACGAGCATTTGGATTTATTCTCGCCCTACGTGCAAAGTCGAAAGGCTTCTGCAATCGCCACAACTCCTCAATTGACCGATTATGCGGCTTTCTGTAGTACCCAGAGGGCCTCGGGTAGATGTTTCTAAATAGAGGGCAGCGAATAAGTCATTGTGTCGCCGCGAGGCGGCGTTGGCGCGCTTCGCGCGGATATCCGGGCTGCAGATCGTGCAGTAGCAGCGTTGGCATACCAAAAATCNAGAGGGCAGCGAATAAGTCATTGTGTCGCCGCTCGCGCTTCACGCGGATATCCAGGCTGCAGATCGTCAAGCCACCAACTTCCCTCCTTCCCCAAATTACACAATAATCTAACAAATTATACGTATCGCTCTAACATCGCACGATATCTATTATAACATTAAAAACTAAAACTTTCAACCTAATCTAAACCACGAAAAGCTACCAACTCTTCTCCAGACACGTAGTAAAGACGTTAGTAAGGGAACATATTTTGTTAAAGGCGATTATCTCACCTTGCTTGTCACCTGCAGTGTAACTCCATATCTTAATGTTCGCCAAATTACACAATACTCCTAGTACTCCTAGTACTCCTAGTACTCCTTCCTACTCTAGCTACCAATTTCCTGCCTTCCTCGGACACATAGTTAGGGTACTGTGTAGTTAATTGTAGTTAGAGTGTGTGTTAAGCCCGGCGCACACGTGAGTTATTTTACTAACGCTGAGTTAGTTTTACTACAGAGAAGTAAAATGATTCGCACGGTCAAAATTCCTTCAACGAAAATCCGCCGCACAACTCTGAGTAAAATGACGCGGTCGTCTCAAATTACTCACGAAAATCCGCGCACACGTGAGAAAAATGACGCATTGCGTCATTTTACCTTGAGTAAAATAACTTCACGTGTGCGCCGGGCATTTAGACTATGCATGCTTAAAGGTGACTGCCTCACCTTGCTTTGTCGCCCGTTAGAACCCATATCTTAATGTTAGCTAGCGCGAGGTTGGCTATCGTCTCCGGCACTCCGTCCTGAAGCTTGTCCTCTATGGCGGTGGCCCCGGCTAGCGTCATGTCACGCTCGATCTCCTCGTACACCGCTTCCACCTTAGCCTCTCTGTCGTCCAGCGAAGTGCTGCAGAAACAACAACAGCCGCGCGTTGCCATTATTAGCAGCCGCTCTATACTGTCTCGCGCGATCAATTATTCACGGTTCGAGTCTGTACGTGCCACAGTTACCCGCCACGCCGCACACGACACTAATGTATTCACCTACCCGCAAGTCTTACTGCTGCAGATAATACTCGGTCTGAAAAGTTTGTTTAGATACCGGATGACACTAGCTGCTCTGTTGCTATTGACATGAACATCTCATCTATCTATCTACGACTTCACGCATAAATGTTAAATAAATGAATGCATAAATGCCTCTATTCATCTAGTCTACACGTATCACATAGTAACAGATAGATATGCTCATGCTATTGCGAATGAAAATGTCGGGAGACATGCGTGAATGAATTAAATTACTTATAACTCATTAAATAAGTTCATTCGGAATTGACAGATAATAGATCTATCTTGGTTAATTGTTACTCGAACGGTGTTGTGATTCAAAAATCGTACTGCTGACGTTTTCGCTCCTATCAGGGAGTCGAAGGTAAGGTAGCAGCTCCCTGATAGGAGGCCGAAACGTCGACACGGTTGAGTAACAATTAACCAAGATAGATAATTATTAATTATAGTTTGTGAGCGAGTTTAAGTAAAGCAGGGATAAGATTCAGATATAATTACCTAAAGTTAGTTTGTAAGTGAATTTAAGTCAGGTAGAAATACTATACGAACACAATTAACTATACTTTAACTTAGTTTCTAAGTGAATTTAAGTGAAGTAGGAATAACATCTTAACACAATTAACTATAATTAGTTTGCAAGTGAATTTCAGTAAAGTAGGAATAAGATTCAAATGCAATTAGCTATAGTTAAACTTGCAAGCAAACTCGACTGAAGCATGCATGAAACTCGAACAAAATACCACGGCGCGCAAACGAGTAAGTAAAATCGAATAAGTAAAGTAGAAAAAGAATGAGAGTCCACATTCAAGCCTAACGTGGCGCATGCACGGAGGTGGGGGGGGGGGTGAGCTTGGCGCGCGTGCGTGGGTGGCTATACGTGTCCCGCACTCACGCTGCTTCGTGGTGCTTCTCCTTCCAATGCTGATACGTCTCTTCATCCAGCTCCCTGACCGCGAGGCACAGCGTTCGGAGTCCGTCTGCCGCAAACTTCTGCAACACGGGAGAAACGCGCGCGGCGAGCGAGCGATCAGTGACGTCGCACACCCACACGTGCGACACTCTGATTCCTAAATTTTAACGAACGATACGTAAAATCAGCATAAAATAGATAAAAAAAAGAAAATGTTATGAACACGATCGGAAAATATCACACTAGCTCTTAACACAGATGACTATGGACGACTACATATAGATGTAGTATTTGTGTTTAGTGCAGGATACTGAATTTAAGTTGTACTGTATTCTTTCCATAACTCCTAAACTCTTCAACTAACTACATTTAATTCTTACACCTACTACTACAATTCTATCTTTACTTCTTTCTCAACATTTAATTAAAACTTCTTTTAATGACATCCTCCTTTAAATAACTAACTTCTAATAACTTAATTAACATTCTCCTAACAACAAAAATATTAAACGTCCAAGTTTTAGAGATCACCGAATTAATTTACTTCACAAGCATGGATAGCACGAGTCAGTGTACACGTAATTACATTTAAATGCTCTGCAGTAATATCCCTAATTGCTTGGTCACCCTCTTTGAGTCTCTCATTGATAACAGTATCAGCACCTTTACAGTATAAATATATCTTCCCCTCTCTACGTAATATCACCTGCAACAACAAACAAAGAAAACAAACATAATTAGCCACACACCAACACCGAAGTCAGACCACTATACACTAGCTAGCATTCAACACTAATCATCGTGATGCCTCCTAACACCAATCTAACCAATGTCCTATTGCATAAAAAGATAACACATCAATGTAAATCGCTCGCACTTATTTCCGTGTGTGCGAGCGATGATGCTGGGGTACGCGCGCGCTTGCCCCATTTATGAATTATAGATGCATGTCCCACATTCCCCGACCAACGAGCTATTCAATGCAAAATGAATGACGAGAGAGACCGATCGCAGCACAGCGCCAGCTTTCGAGGTCACGCCAGATGTCAACCTATCGGTGAGAGAATAGCTAGTGCTCTGGCAGAGAATATACAGTATGTTCATTTGTTTCGGAATTTTAGAATTCCGTTTAGAGTAACAAGTGGCGATCAATCGGCAGTCGTCAAACATTAATCAATAGATCATCATCAATCGACAGTCAATGATCGACGGTCATCAATTGACAGTAATCAATCAAGATTAATTAATCGTCATCCATTGACAGTGATCAATGAGAATCACCAATCAGTGGTATCGATGATAATTAATCGATATTAATCAATTGACAGTAATCAATGATTCGTCATCAATTGACAGTAATCAATGATTCGTCATCAATTGACAATTATCAATCATTGGTCATCGCTCGATGGTCATCGATTGTTAGTTGTCAATCGACGGTAATCAATCAGCATTCATCAATTGACGGTAATCAATCGATACTCGTCGATGGATGGTCAGCAAACACGCTTCTTTTGCACGACGCGCGCCTACGCCGTACGCCCTACGCTGCAGCCGACCACTTACAGACATGCGTTTCCCTCCATTTTTTTACATTAAAAGTAAGAACTTATTAACGTCATCGTCAAATTCTTACCTGATAAGATTGCTTTCTCAGCTAGTTAAAAATCAAATAACCTGGACGATTTGTATTAGGAGTTCATCAACATTAATTGCTTGTAGCACCGATAGACGTATGTTTGATGCA